GTTTCAAATGGATCTCCTTTCATGCATAACTCTAAACTTAAAGAGGGAGGGGTCTTGGACAGATTCAAATCAGGTCAATGGCCAAAAAAAAAACAATTTTGCCATTACATTCTTCCAAATGACCTCTCCCACTGCATTTCATTTACTACAAGGGTTCTCTCTGGAAAGATCCATATCATCTCCGAGAGGTTGTGCAGTCCTTACAGGCCCTAACAGGTCAGAGTTAGGGCTTGAACAGACTACTCGAGCAATCGACACGTCGATTCCTAGGACATCTCGTGAGTTTTTAAATTTCACGTCGAGTATTCGCAGTTACGTCATTATGTTGCAGTTACGTCATTGCATCAGGTGTAAAAGCTACAAAATCAGAGTCAGAGTTTCTTTATTGTCATTCGCACCTCATGTGGTACATGTGGTGGAGCGAAATTATGTACACAGGGTCCCAGTTGGAAACAGGAAACAGGAAATGAATCAACTTCCTGTATGGAGCTCATCATCATGTCAACGAACTGGGTCCAGTCAGTAAAACCAGAACCAAAACCATAACTCCCTTAACCTTTATTCACAAAACAGAAATATTAAATTTCAAAGCTTATATCAACTTTAACACACACACAGACCGTTTCTGAATATTTTCATTGTTACGCGAACCATTTTTTCAGGTGAACATTTTGGTCGTGCTAGCATGTAGTGGTTCAACGAAGACATCATTTTAAAACTCCACATTAACATAATAAAACCGAGTAGAACTCGAGCACTTGATGACATCATAGGATCTAAAGATGAAAAAATTTATTAATAAATAAAACCACAAAAAAGGTCATTATTTACAAAAAAAGACCAAAACATTGGGAGAGTATATTTTGCTCCTCCCATTTATCTTACAGCAAATAAGTCAGAGGAAAAACTAAACTATTAGTTTTTATTATTAAGCTGCAAAAGTGAAAGAAACGTGCGGCACGTCAAAAACTAAACTAAAACCAGTGGGGGGGTCGACCACCCCGCACCACCACCAGCTGTGGTGCATTAGGTTTAGTTTTAGAGATTAATATGTTTATAGGTTTTTATAGGTTTAGAGATTAATATGTTTATGGGTTTTTATAGGTTTAGAGATTAAT